TATCCGATGTGGGAAAGTAGCATATTAAGTGTAGAAAATAGTCTAAACATATTGCCTGTACTCTCTTTTACTTCCTAATGATAAATCTTAATTTATTATGTTCAAACACAGTGTTGAAATAAAATTTATTGCACTTAAATCAATTCACCAATGAATTACCACATATTACTTAACATTTTAAAATCATGTTAAACCCTCTCCTTTTCAACAAGTAACCTGTTCAAGATTTTCAGGTTGAAGCTAAACACCCGGTATATATGTAGTAAAAATAATAATTTCAGTATTGTTAAAATTTAGATTCTAAATATAAAAGAGCTAATGACCACTTTTCATCTAGTAATTTTAAATTACCACGTAATTAGAAATTAGAAAGCATCGTTAACAAAAATTTTGAAAATTAATTGATCAAAATTCAATTTACTGGTTACGCCCAAAGCTGTGACCCAGTGAATGACCGGCTGTTTAAATATTTGTTTATTACAATTTTGTCCTTAAAACGAGTACAGAATTGTACCCTAACATATTTACTGTGAATTACATAATAATATATTGCAGTTTCAATCAATAATCAAAGAACCATGACAATCGTATATTTATGAATTGCTGTTTGAAACTACTCTGGACTAACATTGATTCTCAACCCCTAAGCTGTTAGTTTATTAATTAATTACCCAGACTTGCTAAGGGTCCCATTCGTTCATCATTAGTGAGAATTGATTTTACATTTAAAATATGCCGCCTCACAGCTAAATTAATTTGTGGTAAAAACTATTCGGGTTTGAAATTCTATATAAATAATTAGATAATATTAATAGGATTGCACGAGACTGTTAGATATTATTTAGTGTCATTTTTACCATACCTCACGTTAACAAAACATTTTATCAAACATCTTTTTCAAAAACGCACAATAATTTAATAATTTGTAATCGGTTCCTAAATAAATAAATTGTCTTACCCCTAGCGGTTTAGTTTTAAAGTGATTACAATAGAAAAAAAACAATAGAAATCAGGCCAGTATTGCGTTGGTCAGTTTAATTACTGAACCATGATGGCAAATTGTGTATGTAATGCATATTACAAAATGATTAGACCCTAATTGAAGTTTTGCGTCAACTTTACTTTTAATATAATCACTCATTGAGTTTATTTATTTCACATGTTATTTCAGTTGGTCAAATCCAAACTCCCTGGAATAGTTTAAATTCTTCTCACAAATTTATCATCTTTTAAATAAAAACTCAAAGCAGCCTAACGTAATTTCATTTTCAAAGGTTCTCACACCTTAATAAATCTGAAACCTGTTTTGATGTGTATAACTTGTAAATCATATTTGAGTAGTTGAATAACATTCTCTTGGGGCGGATTTGACAGTGTGTTTTCTCTTTGTTTATGATATTAGAAGACAAGCAATAGCTAATACAGTTTCAATTAGTCAGAAAACATTAAAATGTCAATAGTGAAGAAAAATTATATTTAGTAAAAGTAATCTATAGTTGGTAAAATAACAAGAAATAAATGATAATTATCAAAACATTCTACTTATACAGAACCTAAAAATACTTGAAATTTGAAATTGACTTAAGCTGAGCATATTAAATTTATACAAGAGTATTTTTAACCATGTTGAACCTAGTAATGTTCAATTTTTCACATCTTTGAAAAAAAAATAACAAAAACAGTGAAGAAAGGTTTATTATTTTCTAACAGTGTCCTAAATATAGCAATTTAAAAATTACACATACATTTTTGTCGGTGAGTAATCATAAATCACTAACAATAAATTTCCCGTTTGAAAATCAAAGCCGGAGGATATAGGGGTGGATTAAGGAGAAGGGGGGGGGGGGGGTAATTTGATGTTGTTGAGATATGAAACCCCTTCACGTGATGTAAAACACCCCAGTGATGGGGTGTTTAAACGAGTTATACGAAGTACATTAGTGACATGCTTTAAACTGTTTTTTTCCTTTTAACATTTTTTAAAACTTAATAAGCTATGTATTATTTTTGTGTGGTTAACCGTAATTTTGTGTTCTAAATAAAATCACTCTAGGCAAAACAAATCTGCTTTGACGAGCTACATTTTTTGCACGATGAATTATATAAAGATTAAAGACCTACTCTTAGCAGATATACGAGATATTATTGCACAGACTCTGTGTGTTTCTTATTTTTTAAGCAGATCCTGTAAATTCCTACATATAAAGTAACTTCATAGGACATCAATATTTTTGACCCTCTATAATCAAAAAAACCAACCAAACGTTGATAATTTTACAAAAGGATGTAAAATAAATGATTATTGTACCAATTTTTTGCACAGAATTTTGCTTTGTTTTATAGAAAAAAAATTAAGGATGGTGTTTTTGGTCTCTGATTACATCAAAACGAAAAATTAAATCCGTTAATTCCAAGTCTTACCATGAGACCTACGGTAAGTTTATTCCCTATATGGGATATTCGCTAACACCCAAAATACGAAGTGTCACATTAATAATTTTGACTGCATATAATCCCAGTCTAAAACCATGTTACAATTAAATGTTCCTCCATGTGTGTATAAGTGGGGGGAGTATGTAACCCACTTTTGGCTCACAGGGTTGATCAATATCCGCAAGGTCAGTGTGTTTCATTCATGCTTTCTCCTGTTCAATCTTACTGCAGTAGGAGCCCTTTTGTAACCCGTTCTTAATTTTTAACTTTAATGAAAACGATAAATTTTTGAGCTAAAATTGAATGATTTAATGCAGGAAGATTCCTTTAAATTAACATTCAAATTTCGAAAGCCAATTGGGGTAGCTCCAGGAAATATTTTGGTTGAATCAAAAATAGACACATTTAGGAAGTAAGAGTTTTGAAAATAAGCACAGTTAATCTGGTTAAATATGTAGTTAATGACAATAATCAAAGAATTTGTACAGTAATTTATACAAAGAGAGAAACAGAATAAGTTGAAAATGTGAATGTTTTCTTTCGTTCAATCCCACTACAGTGTCACTGCTTTCTGATTATAATAAGTTTGTATTAGATAAAAAAACATTTCATCACTCTCAGTTTGTAATTAAAAAATATTGACACTTTTGATTCGAAGAATTTTGCTTGTTTGGTAAATGGATTTGTTCCAGGCAAACTATTATTTTGTATTTTTTATGCTTATCCTACAGTTTTAGAATAAAAAAAAATAAAATAGTGATTGTTTGGTTTATTACTAACTTAACATTAGTTTGCTACGACTTTAAAGCATTGCTAACATTATTAACCATTTTAAACCTTATGATTAACCTTAATAACTTCTTGAACAAATTTCCATTAGAAAATGGGCCCAGGATATAAATCAGGATAACTGACAGTTTTGTGCTCACCTTTTAATCCGAAGGTAGAAGGTTTGGTACAGGTTGGATTAATAATAAATTTTCTGCAATTAAATTTGTTATTACTTTTTATCTTTCTAACACAATTCTTGCAAACAACCGAGATAGTGTTACATCTAATTACAATTTTAGAGCCAGTGTAAGTCTGAAGTTTCTGGAAAACCACTTTAATATTATTGCACAACTTAGTCAACACACACTTCGGTATTTTATAACTTTTTCAATTATTCTGCTGGATTCAACAAGAGAGATTAAAAAATTTCAAATTAGGTTTTGCATCAATTTTATACTTTTATATTCACAGAATTAGGTTACTGAACATGCACTAATAATTTATTAATCCATTAAACAAATTTAATTTGTATCTTAGGTTGCTCTCAGAATTTTGGACTTTGGTTCAAGAGACATATATTAATTGAAGAGTTCATATCACCTTTGCGTATTTGAGTATTTCTATCAAAGTCTTTTATACTTAAGGACACTACCTATAGAATTTTAGTAGTACCTACGACATTTTCAACCGCCCAATTATCAATTTTCAATTTATAGTTCTTGAATTATTTACCTAGTTGGATTTAATATTCTCATACTTCAACCACCTAGCTGTATAAACATTTTAAGCTGTCTGGGAGCCGAGGTTATAGTGCTCGCCTGAAGTTCACTAGTTTGATCCCAAGCAAGATCGTTTCCAGACCCAAATGCCATTTGCCATTGGGCTACGAATTAATGACATATGATAGTCACAAGACCAGATTTAGAAACTGTTCCCCTAAAAACCTGAAATAAATGCCAAAGGCATTAAAAGGAATCTTTCCTTTCCATTATTACAAATTTTCTAGTGCTATTAAACTGCTACAGGCTAATGATGATTTGAACCACAAGCACTGGATTAGTGGTTAGAACATGATACTGTACTCCTGTTCTAGAGATCAGATTCCTAACCAAGCCAATCACCAGTGGCAATTACTGTAGCTATGTGTGAGTCCTGGTGGTAAAGGACACCTAAAGCTGTTTAACACATTTCTAGGTTAGGAAGTTTTCCAGGAGAGGCAAGCTGTCTAATTGGAAATTTTCTCCTAAAAAATCTGTTAAGATTGTATTATCACTGTTCTTGCTCACTTTCGTAATGATAAGGTTAAACATAAGGTTCTATTTCTTTAGGTTCTATTTTCTTTGGCAGTAGGCACTACACTATGAGGGAGGCAGGGGTGAAGGGAGAACATGCAGCTGTGTTGTCTGTCTGTCTGCATAAGCGTAAAAATACTCGTTACAAAACGTGTGCTCCTTGCTGTGTTAAGTTTAAATCCTGTTGAAAGAAAAGTTATGATATTTTTAAAATTACTGAAAAAATTACGTATATACAGCTGACTCCTGACCCTTGTAAAGAGTTAACCCTAGGTCTTTGAGGGGGGGCTTAAGCCCCCAAAGCCCCCCGCCCCCTGGGTGTGCCACTGGTTGTTAGCATCCATACAAATTCCCATTGAGTCCCTACAAACCTCTATAACCCCAATCTAAGAAATATTTTAGGAAAGTGTTAGTAAAAATATCTGTGTAATTTACTTTTTTATCTTTGCAGATTGTGTCTCAACCGTACCTGGTTGTTTAACCTACACGTGTGTGTGTGTGTAGGTGTATGGTGAATCGGTGTGGTGATGGTGTATGATGAGAGGACAAGGCTGTGTACCAGCTGACCCGACAGTCTTGGGCTCACTATGAGTGGGCCCCGACTCCCCTCCGATCCGCCCCTGCCAGAGGTAAGCAATATTAACAACCCTTATTCTTGATACTTGATAGTCCTAGTATATAATGTAGTCTTTGATGATTTTTAAAAGACAGATTTGATTACAGACTTATTACAACTTTTCCTTACGGGCAATCTTAAATCGAAACATTTTTTCCTATTTGCTAATGTTTCTCTTTTTGAAATACCTAATATAAGATTATCTAGCCAACAATGTGAACTTTATCACTTTAGCACAGCCACACGATTGTTTTAAAGCAATATTTATCCATTCATCCACATTCCTCCGTTTGTACAGCGACTAAGACTTGGTAAAACGTAGAGAGCTATGCATGTTGAGTGTATGAATTATCTGGTATGTATTGTCTGGTATGGTGTCTTCTAATAACTCTTTCACATTCTGTAAAATATAGCATAAAGCGATGATGGTCCACTAAATTTAGGCGGTTTGAGAGTAAGTTCCTCTACTAATATTTTTTGTTAATGTAGGCCTATATGTTGCATCTGATATATAATTTGGCAAAACTCATCTGTTGCGCTATTTTTTTGAAGGTAGTATCATTATGGAAGGAATGGATTTTTTTTCTCTAAAACCGTCTTAAGTTTGTGAACAGAGTATTTTATAAGTTAATCCTGCTCAATAACTATCTAGTTACTAAAGTGGAATCTTGATAACAAGGTCCTCGATAACAAGAGTCACCGTTGATAACAAATGTAATTTCATATCCCCTACAATTTGTTTTATCCCTAATCACATGTAATTACAAACCTTGATAATAAGTATGATAGCCTTGATAACAAATGAGTCCATTTTTATAATCCCCAGGAGAGTCCTGTTATCAAGGTTCTACTGTATTTCTATTCCTATTGTTTTCCTATTCGTTTTAAGAGAGGTGTTATGACCCAGATTATTTGTTATAATTTGAAAATTTGTTATGGAAGCAAAATAAAACAAATGATCCTTCAAAGTCTGAAAGTTAAAAGGTTGTGTTTGTGGAATTGCAGGCCAATTTTATTGTTGAAGCGTACACAATGCCAATTGTTTGTGGACAATAGTTATTGGACTACACCCCTCCACCCAGTCCACCCCTTGTCTGGTATAAGGGCTGGTGACATAACATGCACTATTTCCCTAATGAGAATCCATTTAATTAATTTTTGACCTTGCCATGAAAATGTCGTGACTAAAACTAGCACTTGTGTTTGTTTAAAGCATCAATATTGCTTTTAGCATTTAGAGTACATAAATACACGCGCTGCAGCAAACCTTTAGATTTAGGGAATTTCTATTTGCCTGATTGGATTTTCTCTGATATATTTCCTTCAAGATGTTAGATTTACTCTCTGTTAAGTTTGCTGCTCCCAAAGAATGTCACAAAGTGTGTTTTTTATTTGAACAGATTGAAATAAAGAAATTTACCTAATGCAATTTGATCTAAATATATCCATAAACAAGTAAACTACAAAAGTTTAATTTATCTCCCTAAGATTAAAATTATATATATACTAGTGTACCTGTTGCTCGAATTCGAGCAATTGCAAAGCATTACATGCGACTCAAAGATTATGGAAATACTCATGATCTACACAACAGTTAGATATAATCAAAATCTTTTGTAAATATCTTATCTTTTTTCAAAAAGCTGATCTTGTTTTTTTAGTGTTTTTAGTGTAAAAAAAAACATTATTTCTATTTATTTTACTTGGTTGTGTTCTATGACTTTTTATATGTTTCCATTGTTTGAAAATCGGTTATTTCAATGATTGCTCAAGAAATGGAGCACAGTGTTAATTCAGTTTTATTTTTAGCCTATATCAAATTGTCCAGGATTTCTCGCTCTTTTCCATTGTAATAATTACACCAACCCAAGTTTCGTCTACAGATGCAATATGCCAAAGAATTTCACCTACGTACAATCTCCAAGAAGTGGTAAAAAAAGGCAGAAACCAAGCCATACAATAGATATAAGTTAACTCCATAAGAAATAATTTTAAGAGTTACTGTGATATTAGGATTTTCCACAGATTTGGTAATAGAACATTATATTGCAAAACGTGACACGATGCAGAATAAAATTGATTTTAAAATCAGAAAAACCCATTGCAAATACTGTACTTAATTTTGAAAAATTCAATAAATCACAATTTAAATATTAACAGCTGTTTCATTAAAAAGTAGTGTGTAGAATTATGCATACGAGAGGTCGTCCAGTGGTCGAAAGTCGACCAAAATTATGTAATGTACTCACTTCTCTATTTTCACCCCACACTGTAAATAAAACATGTGATTGGAGTTTCTTCCATTTGTTTTGATTTCCTGTTTATATTTCGTTGTTATTTCGTCACCAGCATGGCAACGCATAAGATCCATGTTAATTTTTTCAAATCTTTAAACTCATTTTTTGGGCTTATCTTTGAGCTTATTTAAATTTATAAAGGGATTCTGCACACCTACAGGAAAATAGCTTTCTAACGGGATGCGTAGATTTTCCCTACGATGCACACGAGCTGAGAAAAAAGGTTTTAAAGAAACATGCTTGCCTATTAATATATAGATAGATGGTAAACAAATTTGAAGAGGCAACTTTAAAGGCTTCTGGGGCAGAGCCCCAAGGAAATTTACCTCGTTCCTCTTTTGATGGCTCATCTATAGACCAAGACCTTTCTTTAGAGACCCCTACCAAGTTTCTACGCCCAGCCGTTCTCTCAAATTAGCTGGGACAAAAACCCAGTTTTCCTCCATAAGAATAACATGGGATGGGAATTCAAAGGCCACTGGGGCAAAGCCCCAAGGGAATTTACCACGTTTCTCTTTTGATGGCTCATCTACAGACCAAGACCTTTCTTTAGACACCCCTACCGAGTTTCTACGCCCAGCCGTTCTCTCAATTTAGCTATGACAAAGAAAAACAGTTTCAAATTAATATATAGATATATTTTTTTCTTTGTAACTATTAGACCTAAATGATGTTTTAATATACTAAACGAGTTGTTTAATAGGAGCTCCAGAATATTGTTTATTAAGAAATTGGTAAACTTAATTTTGAGAGTCAAAAAATAGGAAAACTAATTTTTACTCTTAAAAACCTTCAAAAAACCCCGCCCATACTTTGATAATGCTGGTTCACTAATTTTGAATAATTGTGAGGTTAAACATGTACTAAATTTTATAAAAATCTTATGAATTTTTAACAAGATATGTTACCTTAAAGTAAATATCATACCTGTTTAAGATGTGGCTAATAAACTGAGTTTAATGTTTGTACACATTTTTTGGAACTATAAAGTAATTTAAGCCGATAACTACAATATTTAATTGGAATTCACAGTTATCACTGACTGAGCTATAAACTCTATGAATTTATTTATATGAAGTTTGTCACTTCAGAACAAACTCTAATTCCATTGTTTACATTTGAAAACTAATAAAATATGGATGGATCCATAATTAATATGCTGAGCTTTGCCCGAAAGCTTAAATAAAACCGAACAAACAAAACTGGCTGTCATAATGTGAAATATGTATTTTGTATTGGTGTTTCATATTATTGGTTTCCCACTTTCATACAATGTTTCACTTTAACAACCCCTTTATATTTTTTCCAAGTGAACTATAAATTTAGAGTCGTTTATGAAACTATAGCCTACTATTTTAAAATATGGTTGTTGTATTTTTTTTAATACCTAGAAATAAATGAGCAATCGAAACAAGTAGAACAGAAAGCCAATAATAATAAAACTCTGTAAATAAAGTTCAGCACAAAGGAAATGTGTTTTAGTTTTCAATAAAGCTACTGACATTTAAAGGTTAATAAAGATTATCTTCTGTAGTTCATACAAAGAGTAAAGTTTTTAGCTCGTTTCAAATATTTACTGTTTGACATCAAGTTGAGATTTTGTAACATGCTGTATTGTTTAGTCCTATCCACTGTTTTAATTGCCTTTCTGTACCAAAATATTAATATCTGGTCAAGAAATATTAATTTCACCATTACAACAATAGCTTGTTGATAAAAATGTATTTAATGAGACTGTACATAATTATTTAATTTAATAATGTTTATACCAGTTTCAAATAATCACAAACTCTTCTACTCGTGAAATTAGCCAAAATGCATTTTTTTCTCATTCTCTGACCAAGCCTTAGTATAGTCCTTGTGTCAACAACATTTCGACCTATAGCTTTATTCCCTATGTAGGAAGTTCGGTAAAAAGGTAGATATATCCAATTGTTCCTACATTTCATCCGCTAAATCAATTAACATTTAATGTTGGATGGTTGCATAATCAGTAAACATATATTTTTGTAATTTGATTAGAACTTTACTAACTTACTCTTTAAAGTTATTTTTATATAATTTTCACAATTACAATTTTGTCACTATTGTTTCCAAAATGAAATGGACAAGCCAAACCAGATGAAACAGACCGAGAACTCTAGCTACACTGTGTAAGATTGGGGGTTTATGGATTAATCGAATGAATATTTCATCACTTGGTAACTCTCGGAGGTTTATTGTTGGTACAATCTTGCAGCTTTACCCTCGCTCTTTGTTTTGAATTCGGAACTGTTTGGAAAATGTCAGCTTTTGACTTTGGATACAAAAGTATTATACTCCAATGTATTATATTACTTGTTTAAAGCATTTGACTTTGTTAACTACAAAATCTTATAAAAAACTATAAATATGTCCAATCGTTAAAATAAATACATTTCCATAGGCTAAATCTTGTTTATAAAAGCATCGCCATAGAACTTTCTTTTTAAAATAATGAAAAATATAGGTCTTACTGGAAAACTTTCAAAATTGGAAAACTGTCAAAATTGGTTAACTTTAGGCCTCGGGTACAATACAAGCGACGAGCGGCATGAGCGGTGCCGCTCTGACATTGGGTCTCATTTAGTTGCGTGTTTGTTAAAGTTAAAGTTTCTTGTAAAAGTTTAAGTTAAAGTTAAAGGTGGCCAAGGTATGCTTCAGCGCCGCTCATGGTTTCAAGTCCAAACCGATTTTC